GTGCTGACAGCTCAGAGCCTGGAGCCTGCTTCTGTTTCTGTGTTGCCTCTCTCTCTGCACCTCTCCCATTTGCACTCTCTCTCTCTCAAAAATAAACATTAAAAAAAATGAAAAATATAAAAAAAGAAATAAGAATGACTGCTGAATATCCCTAAATGTTTTGTCTGTTAATACATTATTGTCTCTTTTTAAATAATTCATATAATGAATCATGTTGACAGATTTCTCAAGATTCCCATCTTTGTTTCTCAACTACATCTTTCTTGGGCCTAATACATTTCTTTAAATAAACTGCTAGATTTAATTACTCTTTTACTTGAAAATCTTGTACACTCATCAAAATCAATCTTTATTTTTTTGTACTACTTTTAAGGATTTTAGTATTAAAGTTACTCTGTAATTATAAAAGGAATGGGGAGCGCTTTGGAACATTTTCTAATTTCTAAAAATGGTCAACAGAGTATCTGTTTTTCAAATGATAAACATTTGCAAAGACCTGGTGTTTTTTAATAGTAATATTTTAATGGCTAAGGGGCTTGCCTGTTGCTACCCCCAGACCAGGAACCCTCAACCCCTTGAACACACCTAGAAAACTCTCAACCTCAGAATTTTCCAGGCTCCCCTTAATGGTTGTTCTAATCCAGCAAAGTGGAGGGGGGGGATGCATTCAGACACCCACCTTCCTCAAAAGCCAAACCATTTCAAAATAAAATACTATTTTTACCATTCCCTAGAATGTCTAAATGTCAATGTCACTACCTGCCTTTGGTGCTCTATTTTCAGACAGACTTGCAAGTCAAGAGTTATTTTCCAAGGACATTAGTAAACTGTCCCACATATATCCAGCCTCTAATTACAACAATCTACAACTCAACATTACTGCAGGTTTGCGTTTGTGGTTCTGTTTATGCTTAAATTGTTTTTCTGAATCCATATAAGGAAGTTAGAAAAAAGAGCCAGGGAGACAAGAATCTGAATCACCCTTCTAAAGTTACCCTATAACCTTGTATAAATGTCCTTTGAACTCTCTAAGTTTAATCTCCACCCATAAAATTGAAATAATACCCACTTGGCACAGGTGTCAGGATTACAGGTTAAAACACCTTAGCCAAGTCTGGCTAACAATGCAAACATTATTTGCCAACAATGGTAACTTTTAGCTTTGTGTGAAACAAATCTGTCATGCTCTGAAGAACCTTATCCCCTCTCCCTTTTTAAACTCTCAAAATAGTAGATGTGAAATATGTATGTATCTTTTTCTCCCTTTGCCCACAAAACAATCACAACTACATTTTAATATAGATAGAATTCTTGCCTCGGCTTAAAAAATTAACACACATGTACCATGAAATCAAAATTGGATGCAAGCACATTAGGGAAGATGGGGTAGGGAGGGGTAAGTAATTTACATATCAACAAATTAAAGCACTCATCTAAATTGTTTATAAATCTGGAGATACACATTCAAGATTCTGTTCAAATGTATTTGCTTGGGGTGTCTGGGTGGCTCAGTAAAGCATCTGACTTTTAATTTTTTTATTAATGTTTATTTAGTTTTGAAAGAGAGAGAGAGACACAGCACCAGCAGGGGAGGGGCAGAGAGAGAGAGGGAGGAGACACAGAATCCGAAGCAGGCTTCGAGCTCTGAGCTGTCAGCACAGAACTTGACACCAGGCTTGAACTCACAAGCCAGGCTTGAACTCCAGCTGCTTGAACTCACGAGCCATGAGATCATGACCTGAACTGAGCACAGAGCCTGCTTGAGCTATTCTCTTTCTTTCTCTCTCTCTCTCTTCCTCTAGCCCTCTCCCTTGCTTGCGTGTTCTTTCCCCCTGCCCACGAATAATAAATAAAAAATTTGAAAAAGAGAAACTTAAATGTTCTATAAAATATCAAAATACATAAGGCATTTCCATTAAAATTAGAAATAAGGTGAAAATGCTTATTATTACCTTTATTCACTTTTGAGGCATTAGCTAATGTAGTAAAGTAGAAAAATGAAAACAGTAAAAATATAGAATCATTTGCAGATGATAGGAATGCTTAGAAAATCTAGGAAACTCACCTAGAAAACTAGTTGAGTTCATGAGAATTTGGTGCAGTGATTGGACAGAGTCTAAAAAATTTTTTTTAGCTTTGTTAAATGCAAAACAGTTTGAATAGAAATTGGAGGTGGAGAATGGGTTGGAGATCCTATTCAAAATAATGGCCAATTGAGGTTTTTTTAAGCTTTTAACTTTTTTTTTTTACATTTTTATTTATTTTTGAGAGACAGACAGAGTGTGTGTGGGGTGGGGGGGTGCAGAGAGGGAGGGAGACACAGAATCAGAAGCAGGATCCAGGCTCCGAGCTGCCAGCACAGAGCCTGATGTGGGGCTTGAACCCACGAACCATGAGATCATGACCTGAGCTGAAGTCAGCTGCTTAACTGACTAAGCCACCCAGGCGCCCCTAAGCTTTTAATTTTAGTACCAGTGTAGTTTACAGATTGTTATATTAGTTTCAGGTGTACCATATAGTGATTCAACAAGTCTATGTATTTCTCAGTGCTCAGCATGATATATGTGCTCTTAATCCCCTTCACCTAGTTCATCCACCTCCCCTCTGGTAACCATTGGTTTGTTCTCCATAGTTAAGAGTCTGTTTTTTGGTTTCTCTCTTTTTTAATTGTTCATTTGTTTCTTAAATTCCACTTATGAGTGAAATCATATGGTATTTGTCTATCTTATACTGAGTTATTTCGCTTAGCATTATACTCGAGCTCTGTCCATGTCATTACAAATTGCAAGGATTTATTCTTTTTTTATGGCTGAGTAATATTCCATTGTATGTGTGCACAGGCCACCTCTTCTTTAATTGATTGACACTTCGGCTGCTTCTGTATCTCAGTTACTGTGAATAATGTTGCCATAAACATTGGTGTGCATGTATCCCTTTGAATTAATGTTCTTGTATTCTTTGGGTAAATACCTGGTAGTGCAATTGCTGGATCATAAGGTAGTTCCATTTTTAACTTTTTGGGGAACCTCCATGCTGTTTTCCATAGTGACTGCACCAGTTTGCATTCCCATCAACAGCGCATGAGTGTTCCTTTTTCTCCGCATCCTCACCAACACCTGTTGTTTCCTGTGTTTTTGATTTTAGCCATTCTGACAGGTGTGAGGTGATACCTCATTGTGGCTTTGATTTGCATTTGCCTGATAATGTGCATCTTTTCATGTGTCTGTTGGCCATCTGGCTGTCTTTGGAAGAATGTCTGTTCATGTATTCTGCTCATTTTTAAATTGGATTATTTATATTTTGGATGTTGAGTTGTGTAAGTTCTTTATTTCATCCTGACCCTTTATCAGATATGTCATTTGCAAATATCTTCTCCCATCCCATAGTTTGTCTTTTAGTTTTGTTGATAGTTGTGCAGAAGCTTTTTATTTTGACGTAGTCCCAATAGTTTATTTTTGCTTTTGTTTCTGTTGCTTCCGGAGACATATTTAGAAAAATGTTGCTATGGCCAGTGTTAGAGATGTTACTGCATGTGTTCTCTTCTAGGATTTTTTATGGTTTCAGGTTTCACATTTAGGAATAATGACCCAACGTTAAATACCTAGGAGTATATTTATTTATTTATTTATTTATTTAAAAAAATTTTTTTTTAACGTTTTTTATTTATTTTTGGGACAGAGAGAGGCAGAGCATGAACGGGGGAGGGGCAGAGAGAGAGGGAGACACAGAATCGGAAACAGGCTCCAGGCTCCGAGCCATCAGCCCAGAGCCTGACGCGGGGCTCGAACTCACGGACCGCGAGATCGTGACCTGGCTGAAGTCGGACGCTTAACCGACTGCGCCACCCAGGCGCCCCGTAGAAGAAAAACAATTTTAAATAATCATAGTGAAGGGAGATTTGTGCTGTTGTTTGTTAAAGCATAATCAAATAGGAAGTGTGATGTTGACACAGGAATCGACAGATAAGAGGAATGGCACAGAGACTTTGAACATGTCTGAGTGTGTATTTGTACACACACAGCTAATACATGACCTAAGGTATATTTCAAGTTTGCTTGGGAAAAGGAGATTTAGTTGATTTCATAAGTGGTGCCAGCACAATGGGCTGTTCTCATTTACATGAGAACAAAGTTAACATAACCTCAGAAGCCATAGAAAAATTAATCTCAGATGGCTTAAGGTCTAGATACATAAACTTAATACATTTAGGGAAATTTAGCATATTTAATCTTGAAGTTGGGAAACCTTTTAAAGAAAGACAAGAAACCCAGAAACTGTAACAACATAATACCATAAAGCCAAAAAACTAGTAACAAAAGTGACAGGGATTTAATCCCTTTAATAATACAGAGAGCCACTCCCTACAACTTAAAACTTAAAAACGAGGATGACTAAATAGAAAAATGTAAAGGATATGAACTGGTCAATCTCAGGAAATGAAAATCAAATATCCTATACATTTTTTTTTATGTTTATTTTTGAGAGAGAGCGAGAGTGTGAACACACAAGTAGGGGAGGGGCAGAGAGAGGGAGACACAGAATCAGAAGCAGGCTCCAGGCTCCAAGCTGGGAGCACGGAGCCCTGCTTGGGCCTGAACCCACGAACCGTGAGATCATGACCTGAGCTGAAGTCGGATACTTAATTGACTGAGCCACCCAGGCACCCCTATCCTGTAAACTTATAACAAAATGTTCACCCCTGTTAGTGACTCCGCAAGTACATGTGGAAACATGAGCAAGGGAAGGAACCTGACATAATAGAAGAGGGACAATATACAGTGCTGGGGAGGATGCCAGGGAAACAGATGCTCGCAATTATTGCTAGTTGGAGTGTGAATGGCCATCAAAACTAAAAACTAAAATGTACATGCCTTTTGTCTCAGCAACCCAATGTTTGAGTGTCTAGCCTACAGACAGGCATCTATACACGGAGGTTGAGTAGCATATTTTTAGTGGAATGATACAATTTTTAAAAATACCATTACCTGGAATGGTGTTAGATGAAAATTTTCAAGTTCAGCATGTGTGTGATCCTAGCTTGCTTGCTTGCATTCTTTCTGATACTAGTTTTACAAAATGGGACAAGCATTTGTGTTTTTGTGTTGGTAAAAGTGTATATGAGCATAGGAAAAAACAGCATATCAAATAGGATTGATTAGTGTTTTCTATGTCTTTATATGGTTGCACTTAGATGGTGTATTAAGTGAAGCAAGTTACAAAACAACAGGACTATAAAATTGTGACTGAGGATTTGTATAAGAACATTCATAGGAAAAATTCTGGAATAGGTTGTTCAGGGAATTGTGGCAAACTTGACTTCTGATTTACATGAATTTGTTTTACATGAGTGTGTATTTTGTAACTAGAAAAATAAAAGACAAGGAGAGTAACTCCTGCTAGTTCAAGATGTTGCCCGCAGCCTACGCATCCCCAGCATGTACCTATAGTACTTCAAAGAGAAGGCAAACCCCAAACTTCCTGTACAGTTGACCCTTGAACAACATGAGGAACATGGGGGTTAG